TTCTGCATCCTGTTTTTTTTTTTTAAGACTATTGGGCAGGCTCGCTAGCCAGACTTTTCCTCACTAGAGTCAGGTAGAGAAAGGCTATAGGTAATGCACCTTAAATATTAACTGAGTCGACCAGGGTCGAACTGGTATATCCATTACCAAAAAATGGTGTTCTTCCTAATTAAACTACAACTCATTTATATACAGGGGGGATGATCGATATAATTCCCTTAACAGTTGGGAACTATCGTCAAAATTATCAATATAACTTATCTTATGCTTATATTATATCGGATTTTAGTCCGGTATTGCAACCAGTAATTATGCTGATTGGGCTAAGTACCCTAGCCCTCGTGCGTTTCGCAAGGGACAGAAAACTAGGATGCGCTGCTATAGTATCGAAAGATGGACTCGAACCACCTACTGATTCTTACAAGGAAACTGTTTTACCAATTAAACTATTCCGACTAGCTTAGCTTTTTATCCTTCCCCTAATGAGCAGGGCTGATCAAGCGCAAATGCTATATATTTTTATTTTAAATAAGGTTTAGATAGTCCTTACCAGAATCGAACTGGTACTGACAGCATGAAAAGTTGTTGTGCTACCCCTACACTAAAGGACCTTAAATTTACCATTATTTATAAAAAGTGTTTCTACTTCTGCCCCTAGATAGTAGGATTTGTTATTATACTTACTTTTATTAAGACAAAGTAACCACACCCTTAGGGAGAAAGAAAGGCTTGTATTTTTTGTATTAGTCTAGTCCTAAGGACCGGTTACTAGGATAGGATGATAGCTTAATACTAAACATCCTAAATCCGTATATGATTAGGTGTTAAGAGGATTCGAACCCCTGTGGTGGGTATTAACAGTACCCCGCATAACCTCTATGCTATAACACCTGATAATTGATACTCTGCGCACAAATATTACCCTAGCCCTTAATAATCTGAAGAAGGTATCGTAGTATCAGAGTATCTTGCACTATAACTAGATAGTCTAGGCTGAATATAGAGTAGGTAAAATATATATAAACGATAAGGCTTATATATTCTTCTTTTAATTAATACTTTTAGCCATGGGACGATCCCACTACCTTAAAAAAAAGATAGTGTCAAGAGCATCAACCAGCTATAACTAAGGGCTACGCCACCCTTTTCCGTAATGCTAGGGTGAGATAGGGTTAATTACTACGGAGTAATAATTAGATTATCGACTAGGAGTACTTAAAATAATAGGAGCTATCATAGATAATAATAATATAATACTACTTAAAATTAATCAAACAGCACCATATGTATATAATCCTTGCCCTAACATTTCTATTTGTAAGAAATTAATGAAACTAGTGTCTAATCCATTAGTATTTAATACACTATTAACAGTATTAATACTATCAGCTACAGAGTGTGCTTGACCTGATAATACTAGATCCATAGGACTAATAAATAATTTATTTAAATTAGTTAATAATTCTAAAGGATATGAAAGGAATTGTAATGATATAGGATTTAATCCTGCTCCTGTAGTTGTAATAGATATTATTTCATATAAAAATACAAAACCAATAGATAAAGCTAAAGGTAAATTTTTAGTATATTCTCTACCTACTTCTAATATGTCTACTAATTTAATATTAATCATCATAATAACGAAAAGGAATAGAACAGTTATAGCTCCAATATATACTAAAATATAAGCTATACCTACAAATCCTATACCTAATAAGATAAGATAACCTGCAGTGTTAATAAACACAGAAATTAAATATAGTACAGATATTACAGGATTTTTAGAAGTAATAACTAATACACTAGATAATATTGCTCCTAAAGCTAATAAATTTAATAAGATATCTTTCATTCTATTATTTATTAATTTTATTCCTGATATGTTTCTCTTTATATAAAGAAATTTAAATGATTTGTTTCGTAGGCTGGGCTCCGCCTTCCATAAGGCAGTATCCTTATCCTATATGACCGGTTAGACTGGGTCACTTGCTCTTAGATATTGAAGCTAAGCCTAGCGGTCCTTGAGCATACAGTGGGTCCTTTAGCGGAAAAATAAAGGAATAAATATTAGTCCTACCTATGCTACATTTCAATATTTCTTTAATTTATTACGTTTTACAGGAAAATAACTAGTTTTATTGATTATAAAGCTGCCAGTCCCTGCCGCATGGCTACCCTACCGTAAGGCTAAGGCTAGGGAGGCTAACTTGCCAGATTGCCTGAACAATAAATTAGAGGTAGTACCTTAAATTATTAAAATTTTATATAATTAGTCCCTGCCGCATGGCTAGGGATGGGTTGGGTTATAAGATCCTATGTTTAGTATAGTACCGATATGATAATCTGTACGCAAAGGCTATATTCTTACTGCTAGTACACAGTTAAGATAAATTAGTGAGCATATGTTTGAGCAGGAAGAGTATCATAAGCATGTAGAGGAGTAGGAGTAGGTAGACTTCATTCTAATGAAGAACTGTATCTAGGATATTTTTTAAATTCCATATTACCTACTAAGTATCCAGGATATGCTCATGTTAATTCTTTATTTTCAATATCTGATCCTGGTTCATTTACTAATGCTTCTTCTTGTGCGAAGCCCGCACTATTTTTAGCACTAGCGAAGATATCGTAGCAGATATATACGAATAAGATAGTTGCAGCTACAGATACTATAGATCCGAAACTAGAAATATAATTTCATTGTGCATATGCATCAGGATAGTCTGGTATTCTTCTAGGCATACCAGCTAGACCTAAGAAGTGTTGAGGGAAGAATGTTAAGTTAACTCCTATGAATAATACTCAGAAGTGTGTTTTAGCTAATAATTCGTTGTATGTTAATCCTACAATTTTTGGAGTTCAGTAATAGAATCCAGCAAATAGAGCGAATACAGCTCCCATTGATAATACATAGTGGAAGTGTGCAACTACGTAATATGTATCATGTAGAGCTACATCCATTGAAGCATTAGCTAACATAACTCCTGTTAAACCACCAACAGTGAATAATGATACAAATCCTAAAGCGAAGATTAAAGGTGTTGTGTATCTTAATGAACCACCGTAGCAAGTAGCTAATCATGAGAAGATTTTAATTCCTGTTGGAACAGCAATTACCATTGTAGCTGCTGTGAAATAGGCTCTTGTATCAACATCTAAACCTACACTGAACATATGGTGGCTTCATACGATGAATCCTAATATACCAATAGAGAACATAGCATATACCATTCCTAAGTAACCGAATACTGGTTTACCTGAGAATTGTGAAATTATATGACTAATAATACCGAATCCTGGTATAATTAAAATATAAACTTCTGGATGTCCGAAGAATCAGAATAAGTGCTGATATAAGATAGGGTCTCCTCCAGCACTTGGATCATAGAATGATGTATTAAATTGTCTATCTGTTAAAAGCATTGTAATTGCACCAGCTAATACAGGTAATGATAATAATAATAGTATAGCTGTAACAAATATAGCTCAAACGAATAAAGGTAATTTATGTAAAGTCATACCAGGTGCTCTCATATTTAATACTGTTGTAATGAAATTCATAGCCCCTAATAAACTAGATACCCCAGCTAAGTGAAGTGAGAAAATACCTAAATCAACTGAACCTCCTGAGTGTGATTGTATTCCAGCTAATGGTGGATATACTGTTCAACCTGTACCAACTCCTGATTCTACTAATGAACTTAATAATAATAGAATTAATGAAGGTGGTAATAATCAGAAGCTGATATTATTTAATCGAGGGAAAGCCATGTCAGGTGCTCCTATTTGAACTGGTAATAAATAGTTACCGAATCCTCCTACTAAACCTGGCATTACCATGAAGAAAATCATAATGAAAGCATGAGCTGTAATTATAACGTTATATAATTGATGGTCATTATTTAAATACTGAGCTCCAGGAGCTGCTAATTCTAATCTAATTAATACAGAGAAAGCTGTACCAATCATACCAGCAAATAATGAAAATACTAAATAAAGAGTTCCAATGTCTTTAGCATTAGTTGAATAAAGTCAACGTTCCAATTTTGTTATATATTTTTAATTTTATTATTAGACCTATCCGGATCCTATTTAAAGGTTTTTCAGCCATACGGCCCTCATCACCAGAAAGAACTATGTCTTACCTGACTTGTAGATAAGGATAATTAGGGGATCCGCCCCAGCCTTTAATGATATTAGATCCGGTAACCATATTTTAAATAAGATGGAGCCTGCTCCGCCTTACATGATTAGGTCTTGATTTTTCTATAAAGTATCTTGAGTACATATCGTCTTACACTAGTGCGAAGTCCAGTAATAAGGGAGATATGTACTCAAGACCTTCAGAATGTAATTGACTATCATCCTTTAGGATATCTATAAAAGATACCTATCGGAATCGCCTATTAAAATCACATTTTCAATAAAAATCTTATCCCGTATGGGATAAAAAGAGTAATTTAACCCGGTCCCTTGTCTTACGACACACGGAGCACGAGCTAGAAAAATAAAATGCCCTGAGAATGAG